CCAGGGTGTGTGGAGAGCTTGGCTTCCTCCATTGCCAGAGAAACCCAAGCCTCCCTCCTGCTCTCTCTGTGGCCAAAGCCATCTTGGTGAGCTCTGGGATCCTACGGGACTACTGCAGTGGGTTTTCTTTCTTTCTTCCATTTTTTAAATGTTTTCACTAGTGGTTATGTCTTCACTAATTTTTAGAGAGAAAAGAAGAGAGAGAAATATCGATTGATGGCCTCCTGTACAAGCCCCAAATGGGAATCGAACCACAGCTCAAATATGTGTCCTGACCTGGAATCAAACCCACAGCCCTGTCAGTGCATAGGATGACGTTCCAACCACCTGGCCAGGACAGTGGGCTGTCTCTTGATAGCAATCGCGCTGCACAGTCTAGTGTTTTTCCACCAAGCCTCACCTAGTGACATTCATGTGCACAGCACATGCCCCTACATGCTAGTGGTTAGTCCACACCCTTCTTTCGCTGTCAAGAGACCCGATGAAATGTAAGTGTGTGGGAATGATGAGGAAAAAGTGTGAATTTGCTCTAAATAACATTTAAAAAGGAAATTCATTCACAAGCACTTATACTTTATTGTAACTAATTTCTTGCTCATAGCCATGGATGGAAACCACTGGCTTGGTCCATGGGACTGGGTTTCTGCTCATATACTGTGAGGACTGGGGTCTGCCCATGAGTCTGGGGTCCTGACCACCTCCAGAGGCCTTGCCAACTGCTTCCCCTGGCGGGAGGGATCCTTTGCCCTGTATTCCAACTAAAGAGTGACATCCCGTACTATTGGGACACATTGATAATGCTCTTTCAATGTATTGTTACACAAGTTGCCAAATTTTCCTTTTGCCTTTGTTACTTCCAACTGGGTCTCTGTCATTTATACACTGGATCAAACATAACCTTGCTGTAATGGGACTAGTTATGGCCCTGGAGGACCAGTCTAGCAGCTGGGATGGTAACCCCATATCCGGTCAAGTCCACGACTGTCTCCCTCAAAAGAATAATATTTTGAAGCCAATAAAAATTACATGAAATTCTATTTCAGAAGCCATAACTAACACAAGAATTTTCATTCATTCATATAACATTGTGACAGCTTTCCTGCTCGAATGGTGGAGTTGAATAATGATGGCAGGAGCCGTATGTGATTCTTGCATTGCTTTGCACTACTGTTCAATTATAACTGTGGATTGTAAATCACAGCAATAATTTGACAATATTTTGGCACCACAGGTTTCACCCTACAGTGATATTTAAAATTTTTACAACCTGTGCTTACCCATCATGACCAAACCAGAAAAGTGGATTTTTCATATTATACTTTTGAGGCACAGTGGAATTTGGTTACCAAGTTTCATATCAAAACTTGGTTTTATTATGCAATGACACTGGCTGTGTTGAAAGAATACAGCATATGTTGTCATTATTAGATAAGCACTCATCACAGTATTTCCACCTTATGGGAAAGCAGTGGTCTGAAAAATTAGAAAATTTAAAATGGAATATCCTATGGTATCCGAATTTCTTCATAAATTTGGTTGACACTTCTATCATAAAGGGTGAATAGCAATATTAAAATATTTGAGAATGGCGGCATAGGGTAGACACCCAAATGCAGCCTGCCACAACAAATTTGAATTTAGAACTGAAAAACAGGGGAAACATCACCCTGAAGCTCCGAACAGCTGGCTGAGAAGAGGCTCTACCATCTGGGAAGGAGAGAGAAGGCGTGCTGAACCTCAGGAACTGAGAAGGTGCGGAGAACTGTGCGTGCGAAAAGGCGGCCGCAGAGTTTGCTGCTGGCTTGCTTGTGGAGTGCGGGGAGGGCGGGCCGAATTCGCTGCTGGCTTACTCCCTGCACGCGGAGAGAGGGGACAGCTAATGAGCGGCTGGCTTTCTTGTTTGGGAGGAAAACAGAACCACCCTATTGCGCTGATAGACGGCCCCAGACAGGGAGAGGCCAGACTGTCAGGCAGTGGGCAGAGATCTCTCGGAGGTGTGTGAAGCCAGCGGCCATTACTGTGGGACTCAGAAACCAGACCCCTCATAGGGAGGGGCTGAATAAAGCTTGTCTGCACCACCCGAGACTCCGCCCCATCCAAGTGGAGCACAGAAGCCCTTCCAATGGCTAGCTTTCTCGTTCACAGTGAATGGGACTCTCCTAGGGAGTGACAGATAGGAATCTAAAGCTTGTCTGCGCCTATAACAAAGAGGTGCGCGTGCCTGCAACCAATTGTGCGGATTCAACAAAGCTTGTCTGTGTCACCCCAAGACTCCACCCCATTCAAGCGAAATACAAAAACCCTCCTAGCTGAGACACTTCTGATCCTCATAGCCAATTGGCTTGGAGATCAATGCTTCCCAGTGATACCAACAACAAGCAAGGCTTAACAATAAGACTGCACACACAGCCCACAAAGGGTTACACCAAGACTGTCTACCTCAGGTAACTGGGAGGCTGACTCACTGAACCATATAGGACACTTTAGCACACAAAGCCACCCTACCAACTCAGGGAAGCTGTGAAAATGCCGAGACAAGGAAACAGATCACAAACAAAAGAAACAGAGGAAAAGAAGTGACTGGATATAGAGTTCAAAACCACGCTTATAAGGTTTTTCAAGAATTTCCTAGAAAAGGTCAATAAGACCTATGAGGATGTGAAAAGGGATCAACAAGAAATAAAGAATACATTGTCTGAAATAAAAAATATTATAGAGTCCTAAAAACAAAATGGAAGATCGCAAGAATCAAGTCAAAGATTTGGAACATAAAGAGCCAGAAGACACTCCTCCGCAGAAGCAAGAAGACAAGAGAATCTAGAAAGTTGAAGATAATGTAAGAAACCTCTGGGACAACTTCAAGCGAACCAACATCAGAATTATGGGGGTCCCAGAAGATGAGAGAGAGCAAGATATCGAAAACATACTGAAAGAAATAGTGACAGAAAACTTCCCCCACCTGGTGAAAGAATTATACTTACAAGTCCAGTAAGCGCACAGAACTCCAAACAAAAGGAATCCAAAGAAGACCACACCAAGACACATCATAATTAAAATTCCAAAGACAAAGAGAGAATATTAAAAGCAGCAAGAGAAAAGCAGGTAGTTACCTATAAAGGAACACCCATATGATTGTCAGCTGATTTCTCAACAGAAACCATGCAGGCCAGACAGGAATGGCAAGAAATATTCAAGGTGATGAATAGCAAGAACCTACAGTCAAAAATAATCTACCCAGCAAAGCTATCACTCAGAATCGAAGGCCAGATAAAGAGCTTCACTAATAAAAAAAAAAGCTAAAGGAGTTCATCACCGCCAAACCAGAATTATATGAATTGCTGAAGGGGGTTCTTTTGGAAGAGAAAGCAAATAAAGATAAAAACTATGAACAACAAATACACAACTATCAACAAGTGAATCTAAAAACCAAAGGAATAAAAAAAAAATCTGATGAACAATATTAACTGTTGAATGTAATAGAATCAGAGGTATGGAAGGGGAGTGAACTGACTATTCTCAGGGAAAAGGGGAGAGTGGGGTGTGGGAAGAGACTGAACATAAACTGTGCACCTATGGATGAGGACAATGGGAGGTGGGGAAAGGGCAGAGGGTGGGGTGGGAACCTGGTGGAGGGGAGCAATGGAGGGGGGGGGGAATGAGGAACATTTGTAATAATATGAACAATAAAGATTTATTTAAAAAATATATTTCCTCTAATTTCCTTTCAATGTTCACAAATTTGTGCACTGGGCCAGTAGTAGCTTTAATAACCACATATGTTTCGATTCCCAGAACTCAGTATCTAGCCCAGACCTCTCTGGGTCTGCAGGACCACTCCGAGGCTCAATGATTTACTGGAAAAGGCTCAAAAAAGCCGTTATATTCATGGCTATGACTTACTACAACAAAAGGTTCTAGATTAAACATTAGCAAAGGTGGGGGAGAAACCACTCACAAACTAGCATTTAGCATTGCAGTCCTAATCTGGTACTCAATAAATATTTGAAGGGTGATTAAGACAGTTCAATTCTGAGAGCAGAGAGGTGACTGCCTGCTTACAGAATCAGGGAAAACTAAGATGTAAGGACCTTCGGGTTGCTATTAAAGGAAAAGACATTTAAAAGATTAAGGAGAGAATACGCCATAATTTTCATACAATTCCTGTGTTCAAATGCCAGCTCCATCACATATTAGCTGTGTGACTCTAGACAAGTTTCTTTACTTTTCCTTACATCAATTTCCTCACCTGCAAAGTAAGTGTAATCATAGCTCCTATCTAGGGAGTTGTTGGAAGATGAAATATCTATAGAAAGCTGCTGGACCTTTGGACAAAACCAAGTGGTCACTGTGACTGCAGTCACAGAGGGCCACGGTGACACCTAACCTTGCCGAGGCAGGACAAGCAGGCTGTCCAGGTGTATCTTGGATCATTCCGTGGCCTTTAGAGTATGATTTACTACTAAACTAGTATTTCAGTGAGAGCCTTAATGTCCTAATCTTGTCAGGAATAGGTCCAATTCTGAATAAAGTTGCCATAGTAACCATCACAAAACAAGGCTAAGTCTTACACATGGACTATGTGATAAATATCTTTGGTGTAGATGATAGGGTGGCATATGAGGAGTTAAGAATGGAACAATATCATTTGAAAAACCGTCTGAAAGGCACTGTAGCAGTCTGGACCACACTGGAAATTTAGAAATCACATCTGGGGCTTTACGTTTTGTTTTATTACTTACTAGCTATGTGACTGGATTCATCACAACATCTGAAGTCTGTTACCAGCTCTAAAATCAGTTAATAATCTCTCATAGTTATTGGATCAAAAGGAAAGGTGTGTTCTATGCACTGTAAAATATTTTAGTAACTGTGTGAAACTACCGCTGGAACATTTTAAAACTTTGTATGAAAAGGTTAGAGAAGGTAAAGGAGTCTTAATATATTCCTTACAAGAATTAAGGATATTTGAAGCCATTAATAATCAAGCAATAAATCCCTTGCACAGAGTAGTTTTACTGTTGCTTTTTCTTTTGTTTTTTTTTTTTTTTAAATAAGTCACTGAATGGATGAACTATCAGGCATCAACTATGACATGTTAACGCTGTCATTGGTCACCAAGTAGCTGTTTTCTCTCCCAGCCCTGTTTCTAGTTAGGTTGGGGCCGCAGGCCCACGTTCTTAGTGAAGCAATGAAGGTGGAAATCATGCCTCCTCAGGCGAGATTTTGACATCCAGCCACATGCCCACTGGTTCTTTCCCCACGCTAATGACTTCGGGGCCCAGTGTTCCAGGTGTCATAACGATGGTGGCAGACTTCCCAATCCATACTGAACATTTCATGAACAAGAATTAAATTTCTATAGAGTCACACCAATTTTGTGTTTTTTATTTGTACCATGGCCTAGTCTATCTTAAAACTCTAGAGGAAACCAAGCTACATAGGGTTGGAAATATACTCCAAAAGTTCATACTCTCCTGAGAAAAGTTGGGTGTTAACCTGAAATTTATGGCCCTTTTATGCCAAGAAAGTGATTTGCTATTTGTTTCATTAGCATTTTATATTTCTCATCAACAAATATTATGTATTTCCTGTGTGTTAAGCATCATACTGAGTATATTTCTGAACATAAAATAATTAATCTTACAGATCTTTATGAATCACTGGCATTACAATAACTCCTAAGAGCCCAGAATTACTTACTTGTAAATGTTAAAAAAATGTTTTTTTAATCTTAACTAGCCAAGTGGAAGTTTTTATACAAATCAAGCAACTTTTTACCTTTTTATAGAGCATTTTGTTTATTTCCGCTAAACGTATTATGACATATGCCAGGGACCAAGATTGTCAAAACTTCTGAAAATAAAGAATTTAATCAACAGTCCACTCCACTTTTACTAGTACATCCAGATTGAAAAAACACTGTATTTAGAAAATGACTAGAATAACCCATTTCATTATCCTTATCTACATGACCCAAACCTTTAGAAGTACTTTGTCTACTAGATAACAAAACAAAGATTTTCTGTTGTGGGCAGAAAATCTTATCCTGCTTTGCAGGTCAAAATTTTGTTGAAAACAATAAACACAAAATAATAACATATCAGTTCTGTAGTACTTCCCATAGGAAATAATGCCAAGATTAACTGGAATGGAAGCCTTGCCGGATCCCTGTTATATAAACCCTGGAGCAGAACAATGAGATCAGTCCACGTTTTATTAACAGACAATGTCTGAGGAGCACTTATCATTGTTCTTATAACTTTGGCTTCTAGAGCTGGTCTTCCACTCAACTCCCAGATTCTCAGTGGCAGGGAGTGTGCTTAGTTGTCTGCCAATCCCATGGACTAGGATGTAGAAATAGGTCCTGACATACAGCAGGGACTTCATAAATGCTTATCATGAAATTGAAGAGAAAATTAAGGAAAAACACCTGGAAAAATGTATTTACTAGTCTTCTATGACCCATACTTATTTTAAATCCTATCTAGAAATAAGAGCATGACTTACTTGAGCAACATACTTATATTTTTCAATGGGACTCTCACACAAGGAGCTTGCCAGCCCACAGGACTCAGAGATCACACTGCAAAACCTCTCCTGCTCTACCCACCTGGGAAGGCCAAGCCTGGATTCCAGGGCACTTCTCACCATGCATCGCGGAATACACTTCCCCACAAAAACCACACTTACCAACAAGTCCAATAAGGTAGACAACATGGAACTCACCCCATACAGGGTGAGTATATGTTAGTGTTTGAACTGCTCGAAATGGGCCTGAATTACAATATCTAGCAAGGATGGGATCTATTCAGGCTTCTAAGTACAGACAAATAAGGTTAGGCACTTAAACTTTTTATGAGAATCCTGGAAAGAGCCTAGGTCTGCATGTGTTATTATTACTACTATCAATAATAACATATATGAAGAAACATGCAATCAGTTATGAAAATGACATGACACCAGTCTGTCCAGAAAACATCTGGATTATAAAATCTGATGTTTGTACATTGTCAGAATTCCTTAACAATTAGTGGCATCATTGAAAAATTATTGTCAACTACGTATACAAAGCCTTTGCTGGTACAGCTGGTGTAGTACTGGTACCCATCTAGTAAAGAAAATATCAGAATCCAAGCATCTTAAATATCTTAACGTCTCCTATTATCCAAATATCTGGAGCCAATAGTCTTAAATTGCTTTATTCAAAGGTACTTTTGTTGTTTTGCCTCTATTACTCTATAATCAATACTTCTTTGAAAAATTATATCCTACATATATTTAAAAAATCAAATGCTGTAGAAGTCTTTTAAAAATGTATATCAGTAATGTTAATTATCTAAAGAATGAGCTTTATGGAATACCTTTTAAGTATTTATTGCTCAGATGAGTCCAAGAAATTCTTAAGCATAATGTGGCAATAGCTCTAATACACTTGTAAACAAAATCCCACTAATAAAAATTTTATTGGCATGAAATACTATAATTATGAATGTGTAAAACTTTTTGATCTTAAAGCCTCTTAACATAATCATGTATATCTATGTACAAAACATAAATTTCACTTTATTTAAAACATGAAAGAGAAAATTTCAAATCACACTAAACATAATAAATATAGAACTTGCTTTGTTAAAAATCTACAGTATACATTCAAGTGAAGGCTAAACTCTCAATGCCAACTATATATGGGACAAAAGTAAAACATTTACAACAGCCTGTTTACTAAAAGTGCTATTTTTAATTCCTTTAAGAGGAAACTCACTCTAGTGCTTTTGTTTCCAAACACTATACATTCCTTTATTCATAGAACCAGATGCTTCTGATACTAAAAATACATATCCGAACCTATATACTCTTTTAAATAGATTTAACATCTTAGTTCTTTGGGGGAAGAACAGGAAGTCCAAACAAACAACTCAGACCATCTTAAATTATGAGAGATGACCAACTTTATGACACACCCTGTTTCAAGTTAGATGTGCAATTTGATGAACATATTAATGAAAAAAGTTCCAGTCCACATGGCTAAGGTAAGCCATCTTTTTCTACGTGAGAATTCGTGGAGGTCCAGGAGCACTCACTACAGCACCCGTCCTGTGATGCAGGCCTTGATGCCACGCTCCATTTCTGATTTGCACATTCTCCTCCAACCTGATTAGGTCTAGTCTCTTCTGGAGTCATATTTAGCACACTGATTGAACTGTAGGGGGAAAGAAACATAAGTCTTAATAATCATCTGCTCCTATATTTTAGATATACTTCAATGTCTAAAGGCTGACTGATTCCTTGTCCTATGCTGAGTAAATTTTGAGGACATGCTGATCAAGAACAAAGAATCTTTAAAATGGCCTAATTCACTTTTATCCTATCCACATATTTATTTATCTCTTTAGTCTAACTTTAAAGCACACTGCCCAACTTAGCATGCACCAAGCCCAAGGTAGACAGAGAGCATGTGGGTTTGGAAAGCCAGTGTCTCTCATAGCCCCATCTTTCTGCCACTATTTTCTAATCTCTTCGTGGCTTCTTTCAGTACTTGTCCATTTGTTCAGGCTCGGTTTCATCTACCCACTCATTCACCGACACAGATCCTTAACGAAAGCCTACACACGTGTAAAGATTCCAGCTAGACCACTTTGGCAAGTTAAACCTCCCTGTTCTTCAGCTTCCACAGCCTATCTCATAGGATTGGGTGAGAACTAAACGAGTTAGCATGCACTAAGCACTAACAGTGCTCAATTAACTGTCAGGCAATAACAACCTTCTTGTCTGAAAACAGACACAGCTTCCACTGTCAGCAATACAATCTGAAAGATATACTCTGCAACCAGCCTCAAAACAAACAACATCTAGTTAAATGATCACTTTAAAATCTACGGGGTTGAACCAATGAACAATCAAGTGAGTACCTTATGTAACTTTTTTCATAAAAATTTTTTTCCTAAATGTTCATATTTTCTGACTTTGGTTTACCAACTCCATCTTAGAATGTGGTAAACTTAAAAAAATTAACTTGCTTTAATAAAAAGTTAAAAAAACATAATTAAAATTGCTTTTTAAAAAAGTAGCTTAAGGCCCTAACCGGTTTGTCTCAGTGGATAGAGCGATGGCCCTCGAACTGAAGAAGGGTCTCAGGTTCAATTACAGTCAAGGTCATGTACCTGGGTTGTGGCCTTGATCCCCAATAGGGGGTATGCAGGAGGCAGCTGATATATGTTTCTCTCTCATCAATGTTTCTAACTCTCTATCCCTCTCCCTTCCTCTCTATAAATATCAATTATATATATATATATATGTATGTATATATATGTATATATATACATACACACACACACACACACACATATATATATATATATATATATATTTTTTTTTTTTTAAAGTAACTTACTTGTGTATCATTCAGCCCTTAGAATCCCTGCCATCTCAGATAAGGTCAATGATCAACTGAAATCTCCAACTTAGTACAGAGCTACTTTGCATGGAACCCAGGCACAGCCTTTATGTATAATTCCATCTTGTAGTGAAGGAGCAATGAGGATGCTACAAATACTGCTACAAATACTTTGGTGTAACCTTACCTATTACAAAACCCAGATCCAAGGTGCTTCAGGAGCAAAAACACAAATTCATCACATAAAATAAAACTTCAAGAACTACATCAAGCTGCAACTGACAGCCATTTACAGAACTCTCTCCCATGTTTTATCCTCCGAGGCCAGTAACTGAATAGCTTAATGAAATTTAAGATCAAAATTGTTTCTATGTGATTGATATATAGTGCAAAACCTTGGAGTACAAGAAACAGAATAGCCTTTTTATAATCTATTTATGTTTACATTTATTTTTATTTTTATAGCCTGTTACTAAAGGTTTACAATTGACCAAGTACTGTTTTAAGTTAAGTACTTTAACAAATATTAACACCTAACTTCACAACATCCTACAACGTAGGTACTAAATATTGGACTTTTATTAAAAACAAAACAATGTCGTCAAGAAATATTTATGTCAAATATTTCACAACTAAAAAAAATTATGTAAAAAGGTAAAAATTTAAAATATGTAAAGATAATTGGGGCAACTATCTGATGTTTTCTTTTAGATACAAAAAGTATTATTTGTAAGTGGTAACTAGAACTTATGTCTAAATATATATATATATATATATATATATATATATATATATATATATATAGTTATGATTGGTCAAATCTCAATGTTTCAATAACATCCTGTGTAAGAAAATACTCTGAGCTTACATTATTTTTATTATAAATTAAATAAACATTCACTTCCCATATCCAACCCATCAGTCAACCTTTTGGCTCTAACTGTAAAATATACCCTAAATCTAAACATTTCTACCTTCATCCACATTGCTATTATCTCTCCCCTCTGCCCACTAATGCCTCCTGACTGAGTCTCCCAGCTAATATCACTGGCTCTGAGATGTTTCCTATATAATATAGAGCAATGTTTTTGAAACTTAATTTTTCTCACTCTCCTGCTTAAAAGTCTTGAATGCTTTTGCATTGCCCTTAGAATACCTGACCTACAAATACAGATTAAACGATTTTTTTTTATTGATTTCAGAGAGGGAGGAAGAGAAACATCAACAATGAGAGAAAATCATTAATCAGCTGCCTACTGTATGCTCCCAACTGGGGATACAGTCCACAACCCAGGCATATGCCCTGACCGAAAGGGAGCAGGCCGGGCTGAGGAATATCCCCCAATCCCCACTGAGTGCACAAATGTACCAGGCCTCTAGTATTTATATATATTTGAACTTATACATAGTACCGTTTAATCCCAGGTCCTTCAAGGATATGACCCCTGGTTTTGTTTGCTAACTCCACTCACATCCACAAGCACACTAGTGTCCACCTCAGGGTCCCTACACTTGCTGCTGGGAGGGCCCTCAGCTCTTCTTTGGCCCAGTATTACTTAGTCCTCATCCTTTCAAAACTCAACTTTAAGTTAGTGTCTTGTACTTTGAAAAGCTTCATTTTTTTGTTTTAAAGTTCATCTATTTAACAATTCTTCTTTGAAAGTTACTGCCTTCTTTAGCACCGTGCTCCACACAAGCCTCTCACCACCACAGCCCGTGTGTGCAGCTCCCTAAGGCAGGCCCTGGGCCGTCTCCTCCTCTGAGGACAGCGCCGCCGGCACTTTCCCACGCAGCCCCTAGCTCCCTCCGTCCTCTGCAGCACTAGCAATGGTCCAGCTGCTTAGTTCAAAGCTAATCTTGGAATAGGATGTGAGCTAAAGAATTGATATTAGAGCTTAGAAAATTAATTTAACAACCTTAGAGGACTATCCCAAAATGTTAGTTAATAGCAGTTTGTGGGTTTCTGGGACGGACCCCATCATCCTGGGCACTGACCCTCTTTACCAGTCAGGATGAGCAGTGCTCTGCCCTTCAACACCAATGAAACGGGCATACGAGAAGAAACTCTAAATACGTGCTCTACAAAAAATTTCAAAACAATATTCTTCTAGTTAATAAAATTAAATACTTAAAATATTAAGTGATCCCTATAAATAAGACTATATTTTAAATTGTATTTTAGATATGAAATAAAAATAATCACATTAGCCAAAACCGATTTGGCTCAGTGGATAGAGCGTCGGCCTGCAGACTGAAAGGTCCCAGGTTCAATTCCGGTCAAGGGCATGTACCTTGGTTGCAGGCACATCCCCAGTGGGGGGTGTGCAAGAGGCAGCTGATCGATGATTCTCTCTCATCGATGTTTCTAGCTCTCTGTCCCTCTCTCTTTCTCTCTGTAAAAAATCAATAAAATATACTTAAAAATAAATAAATAAATAAAAAATAATCACATTATATCATTTAGCTCAAAGACAGGGACTGTATATGCCTTATTCACAACTATATTCCTGATGCCTAATAGTTGTCTATAGATAATGGATACCCAATAAATATTTGCATAATGATGAATCCATCTACTGAATTCCTCTCCAAACCCTCTACTACTGTTAATATTACAAACATGCCAACTTTTCCTTAGCAATGCAACTCTAGCGATGTTATGTATATGTGAGATGACCAATACCTATGTTCAGATACACAGGAACGTGTCTGGCAAAAGTCTGAAGTTGAAGGAGAAGCAGGAAGAGATTTTGTGAGTTTAGAGGTACAAATTGGAGACCCGTTAGACACCCTGTAGGGCTTCTGTCGTGGCCTTGAGTGCACTGTAAGATTGTCCCGGTCAGAACCTGTGGGGCAAAAAAAGGCAATATAATGGAGGTGGTTAACTATGATGGATTATTTGTAGTTCTGAGTAAGGTGTGAGACAGAACGAGAGTCTAGCTCGTCCTGTAATCTTTGTCACAAACATTTAAATGGGTTGTTTTAAAAATATTTGTTTGTAGTAAATTTTCAAAAACTTGACATTATTACACAACAAAAGTTGTCTTTGGAATACACAGCCTTCCTGTCATTCCCATTTGACTCAGTAAATAAAATATTAAAGTTGATTTTTTAGTTTTAATTAGAAAGCTCTTACTGCTGCCCTCCAAAGTCTTATATTAATAATTTACAGTATTTTTACATGCATTTTCAGATTAAAAAGCTTATGAAATACTCACTTCCAGAGAAGGCACTGAAAAGTCTCACATTTTCCGAATTCTGGTGGTCAAAAGTAGTCATATTTAAAAACTGTTGCTTTAACCAGCTGGCTCTTTCTTCTTCAAATGCTTTTCTCTGTCAAAATAAGCAAACCAAAGAAATATGATCAATGTTTCAATGCTGATGTAGTTGCCATTTTACATGATTTCTCTAGCTATCTGTGTTTGCTTTCTGGCTACCATATATGTAATTAAGTCAAATGAATTAAAAACACTAAGAAAAATTTTATTTAAGAAAATTGCTTAAAAAATAAAAAGCCATCCCTTTCATCTAATAAACTAACTAGTCACTATTTTTTCACATCAATTTTGATTAAGTGCAAGTGGACAATGCAAAAATAGCATATTAGCATAACTTTTAAACATGCAGAATATGAGCAAAACTTTTGAATATACAGAACATTATAAATATAAAATCACAAACAACAGAAAAATACCCATTGTAAATTAATCACATGAGAAAGGGGGGTAAGGCTTTATCAAGCATTGCTGTCATCCTCCAACTTTCTACCAGCAGGAGCAGCACCACTACACCACAAGGGGGCGCATGTCAAACCTCCCCCTTCTGCACAGCTTCGGAATCCTAAACTATATTCTCCCAGACACTCAGGTTTCTGGTCCATCCTCTAGTGACCACAGGCAAAGGGATTCCTAAGCAGAGAACTGGGAGTGGCATCAAAGTAGCAAGAGCATCTCAGAATAGGGTTGGGGGTGAGGGAGAGATGGGCTCAGAAACAGAAGTGATCCTATAAAACAGAGAAAATGCTAGTGCAAATTGTTCTTGTTTTCTGAGAATGATAGCTATTGATGAAATTTTCACAATTTGCTATTTAAAATGACCAACATATATAGTTTTTCACTTATAAATATTAATATAGACTAATGGATCACTAAACATTTGAAGAAAACTAACAGCCTAAGAGGAAAAACAAAAACAAAAACAAGACAAAGAGAAATGATTATGGATAACAGATAGTTTAGGACAGAAAAAAATATTTTTTAAAAACCATAATACAGATTTTAAATATATTACCAAAACTGTACTAACATAGTATAATATTACAAAAGTTGTAGGAAATATTAAAAAAATCTATAAATAACAGGATTACTTCTATTATATTTAAAACCTTTTTTTTTGAAATATTAATGTTTGTTACATGCAATATATTTGAAATCGTTTTCCTTGAAAAATAATTATGTGCAATATATTAAAACTGTTTGATCCAAAAAATTCATAATACAAATTACTGGACAGATTTATGAACTCCTATAAAATAATACAGTGCTATACCAAAAAAAACAACAAAGAAGTAAAGAAATTAAACACTAAAATGATAAACTCTGAAATAAAAACTCAGGGGATGAAGAGAATAATAAAACTGACCATGATGAAGACCAGGTTGCTGATGCACAAGATAAAGGGAGAGAATATCCCCAAATTCAGAATATAAAGTCAATTGATTCAGAAGGATAACCATCTGTCTAGTAAAAGTTCCAGGATGTGAGAGAAATCAAAGGAGGTAAAAATACAGCATAGAAGAAAAATTTCCTAAAGAAATATGGTATATCTTCAGGCAGAAAGAGCCATGGGGCCCAGCTGGCATGGCTCAGTAGTTGAGCATCGACCTATGAGCCAGGAGGTCATGGTTTGATTCCTGGTCAGGGCAAATTCCTGGTTGCAGGCTCGATCCCCAGTGGGGGCATTCAAGTGGCAACCAGTCAATGATTGGGATAGAATAAACGTGACGGCTGAGTCTGAGTCGAAGCATTGACTCCACACCGATACACTCTTCCAGGTGGCAGTCTTCATAATACAGAAGATTTTCCATGTGTCCAAACATATTACTTGGTACAAAATAAATAATATTTAGACAATTATGTTATCAATATTCTTTCCTAGGTTATAATTTTTAAGTCTTAATCTTACACAAAGTACTTCACTGGGATTATATTACAGGGCAGAATATGAATATGGTAACACTTGACAGTGAAAAATAATTATCACTTGGGAAGAGAGGGGCAAGCAGAATGGAGTAAGTGTAACTAGGAGAATGCCTTCTGTCATTGCAAGGATAAACTAATGCTGTCTGAAGTTGAGCAAACATGAAGTAGATGCATTAAACTGTTTATTCAAAGTAAAAAAGGTTACTCAGAAAAAGCAATTTTAAAAAAATTAGTGTAAAAAGTAACGATAGTATAAAAAAGCCAGGTGTAAGGAACAGTATAGGCGGTAGTCAAGATAAGTACATTAAATGCCTCCTCTTTCATTAGTGGGGAATCAATGGACTGAAATATATTAAAGTTAAAATATTTCCCAGAAGAATGACAAATAGAAACTTGTAACAGTGGTTACCTCTGAGGAATTAAACTGGCAATGGAAAAGGAGGATATTTCCTCACTTTTTAGCTTTGTGTATGGGTTGATTTTATTTTTAAACCATGTTCTAACATTACTTCTATAATTGTTGAAAGGAAAATCTATAGGTGATACACTGCTGGGTAAAAAAAAACAAACCACAAGCTGAAGACATGCATACGCAATAGTCCAAACTGCTAACTGGGAGGCCCACATCCCTGAGTGAGGGCCCAGAAGGAGAAGGAATTTCACTTTTTACCACACTTCCTTTTATAAAAACAAAACAACAAACATGCTCTTGTTTACACTGTCTTCTTACACTACTGACAGTGGACAGATGACATATGCCCAAAAGAACTCTCTTGTGAAGCTAAACACTTAATAGTAGAAAACTAATCCAAAAGGGATAATGAATACTTAGTTGATTTTTTGTTGTTGTTTTTTTTTCATTTTTTTTAAATTTTTTATTTTTCAATCCCCAAATCTGGTAAAGGCAAAAAGATATCCCTCTATAGTTCCAATGCTTAGCATCTCTTTCATTTCAAGTTATTGATGAAATACTTGTAGACGACACAGAACTTAGATGCATTCTACTGAGGCCTCCCTACAATTCTCAAAAGCTCTACAAGGAAAAGCCAATTGTTTAAAATACCTCCAATCCTAGGCGAATGGCAGCTTCTGTAAAGCTCCGTCTTTCTTTTTCGAAATTCTTTTTTTGCTCTTTAAATAGGGACCACTCTTCTTTGAGGCGCTCCTTTTCTTCCAACAAATAACAGTCTTGCAGCAGTGAAGTGGTATCGTCATCACATGTGGTAGCAAGCTGCTGCTATTAGATTTTAAAACAGTAAGTTCCTGAGGGCTCCTGCAACCCTCCACCAAGTTGAAACGAAACAAGGGAGGGCAGGTTAAACTTGAGGGGATGAACAGAAATGAAGAAGAATGAGAATGTCAACTGAAGTGTGCCATTCCCCAAATGCTTCTACTCTACAACACCCACTAAGCAATGGTATGAAATCTACCTGTTAGGAAGCAGAGAACTTAGATCAGACAAGTGTCACAGACTTATTTCTTAAGTTTCACAGAGCTTATGAAATAAAGAAATAAAATCTAGTAAGATTCAGTAACATTCTGGTCTTTCTCAAGGAAGAATCATTTTAAAAAGTAACTCACATTTACCTGTAAAAGTTGTTGTTGAGTTTTAATCATTTCTTTACACTGCTGAATTTCTAACTCAAGTTTTTCGGTTTCTTCCTCATGGTCTTGTCGTGAAATTACATCTTCATCATTAAAACCTTCTAGGTGTACCTTTGAAACTAACATAAAAGTAGTAATTTGACATAAATTTAACAGTCACCACTTAGCTTATGGTATCTTTTGGACATACACTTAAAAATCAAGGCTCTCAAAACTTTTCACTTTCGGGAATCCCATAGGTTTTTCTGAAGGATTACTATTGTCCTGTGCTCTTTAAAAATGTATAAGCTATGTTAAATTTATATTATTTTAACACTTGAAAATTTTAAAAAGCAAAGCAACTATAAGGAGTTCATGATAACTATAAATTGGCACCCTTTTTGGACTAAATGACAGCCACACAAATAGACCTTCATTACCAACAGTTACTTTGTAATCCATATTTATTCAAGATTATGTCCTAATTAAAAATGGACAATCTATATTCACAGAAGAGAAAAATAACTGACCTGCATAAACTATGTTCTTTTGACACTTTTTCAAAGATCATTGCAGTGCCACAAATCTCATTCTCTGGTTTAGATTTCAACAAACAGGAAGCCCAAACATACTTGCTATTTACTAACAGGCAATGAAGACTCACCCAAGTCAATAAAATCTCATGCCAATTCATTTTGGTACTTACATAAGTTTGCTGATTGCTCTTTATTTATTTACTAGAGGCCTGGTGCATGAAATTCATGCACAGAGGGAGGGAAGTGATGGTCCCTCAGCCCAGCCTGCACCATCTCCAATCTGGAACATCCCTCTCACAATCCAGGACTGCTGGCTCCCAACTGCTCGCCTGCCTTCCTGATAGACCCTAACCGCTTCTGCCTGCCAACCTGATCACCCCCTAACCACTCCCCTGCCAGCCTGATTGATGATTAACTGCTCCCCTGCCAGCCTGTTTGCCCCTAACTGCCCTCCCCTGCAGGCCTGGTCACCCCTAACTGCCCTCCCCTGAAGGCCTGGTCCCTCCCAACTGCCCTCCGCTGCTGGCCATCTTGTGGTGGCCATCTTTGTATCCACATGTGGGCAGGATCTTTGACCAGATGGAGGCAGCCATCTTGTGTGTTGGAGTAATGATCAATTTGCTTATTACTCTTTTATTAGATAGTATAGAGATCTGGTACACAGGTGGGAGTGGCTGGTTTGCCCTGAAGGATGTCCTGGATCAGGGTGGGGGTTGCCTTGAGGTATGGGGTGGTCTGGGTGAGGGGCCTGGAATGGTTTGCAAGCCAGCCACACCCCCTGGCGACCCAAGTGGAGGCCCTGGTATCTGGGATTTATTTATCTTCTATAATTAAAACTTTGCAGCCTTGAGTGGAGGCCTAGGCCGTCCAGGGTGTGCAGAAAGCTTGGCTTCCTCCATTACAGGGGAAACCCAAGCCACCTGCTCACTCCATGGCTGTAGCCATCTTGGTTGGGCTAATTTGCATACTTGCTCCTGATTGGCTGGTGGGCATGGCTAGTGGGAGTAGCAGAGTGATGGTTAATTAGCATATTGCTTTTTATTGTATAGGATTTATTTATTAATTAAATGTATCTTTATTGTTGAAAGTATTAGATGGCCTCCTTTTACCCCCTTTGATCCTCTCCACTCAGCCTGCTGATTGTTTTTTATTACTGAAGACAACTGGTACTAGGTTTGTTATTTTTGACAATTTAGAATAATTTTTTAAAAATAAACCACTTATTGAGCAGAAACTTAATTTTCTTGATTTAAAAGCATGTAAACTTTAATAAATACAAAATATTAAGGATATATTCATCAATGTAAATCTATCTATACTATCTGTACTGATAGGAAACGATGTCTAAAATATTCAATTTTGTTTTTTTGTGTGTGTGTGTGTCTATTTTTAAATAAATATTTTGCAAATGCAGAGAGAAAAGTCTAAAAAGATTTCACAGAACTGTTAAGTGTTACATATAGGGAAGAGTCCTAGATATTCTACTTTCAGACTCCCTGACACAAATACATTGAACATCTATTATTTTGAAAACAATTTAAAAGTGGATTATTAGCCGAAACCGGTTTGGCTCAGGGGTAGAGCTCGGTTTGTGGACTGAAAGGTCCCGGGTTCGATTCCGGTCAAGGGCATGTACGTGGGCTGCAGGCACATCCTTGGTGGGGGATGTGCAGGAGGCGGCTGGTCGATGTTTCTCTCTCATCGATGTTTCTGGCTCTCTGTCTCTCTCCCTTCATCTCTGTAAAAATCAATAAAATATATTTAAAAAATAAATAAATAAATAAATAAATAATCAAAGTGGATTATTAGGATCTTAGATGCGTATATCTAGAATAAGCAAAATATTCATATGTGTACTGTATGATGGTTACTGCTTCTTGATTTCCAGGATTAGTAGAGACTGGTCACTGTATCTAAGTGCACTGAGAGCACATGAATCATGACGTCCTCTTTTCAGAGAAAGAGGCACTCTGGAGGCCAACTACATTTTCTCAGTGATATTCAACCTCATGACTAGAAGTAGGCAGTCTTGCTTTTTAAACCACCAAACTGGCTTTTATATGACTGCAAATTAAGTGTACTGAGTTTCACTACTCACTTTGCATGCATTTAGGCAGTAGTTACCTTGGTTATCAAGTTTTTCCACATGACTTTTCAAAATCCTCCACTGTTTCCTGATGCTGTTTGTAAGCTGCTCTCTCACAGTTTCACAGGAAAGGTCCCATATACTCTCTCTGCTCAGTTCCCCAGGATCTTCTTCAACATCAGAAATACCCTACAAGAGATAAAAAGACCAGTATCTTAAAATGGCTTTAGGCACATACGCAGCAGTAATCACACTGTCAACTACTTATCAAAATCATTTCTGTGCTGTATCTTAAGCATATATGACCCAGTTCTTAACGTAAGTATTTTGAGAAAAAGCGATTAATATTGAAGGTAGAAATCCCCCAATTCAGGTCTCTTCAAACCTGAATTTGAACCCAAATAGTTAGCAATCAGCATCATAGAGCTGTGTGAGAAAGTTGCTATGTCTCTAATGTGTTAGATGCTTTCACATGTTAATTAATCTTCCAAACTCAGGCTTAGAGAAAGAATAACTTGCCCAATGTCACACAGCCAAGAAGTAGAAGTGAGGTAAAGTTAGATCAACTGATCTCCAATCTTACGCTGCTTAAACAAACCTGTAAAATAATCTCCAAAGTAAAAGCAATCTCCAAAGCAACTGTTAGTTCTATTTTTCTCATATAATTTTTAAAAATAAAATTGAAGGTTATTTTTCTTTGTGAATTCTACCAAGACATTATATCATAGGAAAGTGTAACACTCAATTATTGCACATGATCAATTAGAACCAAAGCAGAATAAAGCACATACAGAAAGGATATTAAAATGAGCATGTCATACTAATATGAATCTACATAAAATGGTCCTGAGCCTGAAGAACTGCATCAATAGTCTGAGGTCAGTGATGGATGGCAGAGGTCAAGGTCTCCCAGGGGAGCCAGTAGGAAAATGAGTTCTTTTTTTACACACTGCACTAACCTATTATGGCTCTATAATAATTATAGAATTATGACTTCTCTGTATGTGTGTCTCTCTCAAAAAGTGTCTTGCAGATGCAATAGACTGCATGTTGTGCTCCGTCAAAATTCATATGTTGATATTCTCACCCCGATGGGAAGGTATTAGAGGTGGGGTCTTTGGGAGGTGCTCAGGTCATGAGTAGCGCCCTCATGAATAGGATGAGTGCCTCTATAAAAGGGACCCATAAGCTGAAACCGGTTTGGCTCAGTGGATAGAGCGTCGGGCTACGGACTGAAAAGGGACCCATGAGTTCTCCGACTCTCTTTCCACCATGTACAAGTTAGCAATCTGCAGCAAAGAAAAGCACCCTCACCAGGCACCGAATCAGCAGGCACCGATTTGGATTTCCAGGCTCCAGAACTGCGAGAAATAAATTTCTGTTGTTTATAAACCCGTCTACAATACTTTATTATAGCAGCCCAGACAAAGACGGAGGGAAAGTCAAAGTCTTTTTAGAGACTTTTGCTCTGTTGGCGTGGCTCAGCAGTTGAACACTGACTTATGAACCAGGAGGTCACAGTTTAATTCCTGGTTAGGGTACATGCCCAGATTGCAGGCTCAATCCTCAGGGAGGCAGTAGGGGGCATGTAGGAGGCAGCCGATCAATGATTATCTCATCACTGATATTTCTATCTCTCTCTTCCTCTTTGAAATCAACAAAAATATATTTAAAAAAATATTTTTAGAATTTTCTTTCCAGGGACTGGAAAAGAAAATTGTGCAATCAATATATTTACGAAATAAATGATTATTTGATTCCTAACATTAGCAAAGGTTTCACTCTCTGAAAAGCAGAGCCTGTTTAAGCACACAGTATCGAAATAAAATGTTTAAAGAACACTTTGCACAGTGGTAACAAACATGAACTCTGGAGGAGGGAGGACTTGGATGCAAATCCTGGTTCCGTCATGTGTAACATTGGGCTGACCACTGTGCCTCAGGTGTCTTCATCTCACAATGGAGATAATTCCTGAATAGTATCAAAAGCATCAAATTACAATAAGGATGAAATGACACCATGCTTATAAAAACCATTACAGTGTTTGGCATATATTATGTCATAAAAAAATAGTCTCCATCATTTCCCAGATGTCTGGAAACAGGGACATTTTTTTGGTTGTCACGGTGACTGGTAGCAGAGAGTGTCCTGTCCAAAATACCAACAGTGTCTCCATGGAGAATACCTATTTGTTGCTTCAACTGTTCTAATTAGCAATCCGAAAGGAAAGAGCCACTTACAGTTCCTGTGCTATCATCTGCTTTTTCTATAGGTTTCTGCTTTTGGGGAGAAAGAAGAGAAATCATTTCCTTTTTCATTTGCTGAAGAACCTTCTTAAGTTCAGCATTTTCCATTAGGATTTGTTTCTGACGATATTCATAATCATTCAAGAGAATTTTATACATTTCATCTTCATTCCTGAAAAAGAAACTGTCAGTATGAAAATGCAGCATAGAAAGAAGGGTCTGGATAAATGTATCAATTTAAACTGGACCTTACCTTGCTTCACTTTTATCAGTCCTCCAAGAGCCTCTTTTTCCATCAGCTCTCCCCACATAATTTAAAACTTCCATAGCTACAAGTAAGAACACACAAATAAAACCAATCCTCACCACACATGTTTAAGTGTTTAAAACCCTAATATATTCCATAATACATCAGGGACTTAAGTCAACCTGGTATATGGTATATAGAATGAAATTTGTTTTGGACTCAATCAGCCCAGATTTCATATTACGGTTTCATCATTTATAAGCACTGAGATCTTGGCAAGCCTGTTTCTTCATTGATACAGGTAATAATCAAAGTATACACCAATGAGAAGTTGTGAAGAACAAAAGAAATGCTAAAGCATGTAACACAGCAAATATCTAATAAATGTTATCTTATTATCATTAATGTTATCATCAGGGCCTACATATTGACTGCCTGATTTTATAAATAAAGTCTTATTAGAACACAGATACACCATTTGCTTATATTTTGTCTACAGCTACCTTTGCGCTACATTGGCAGAGATGAATCAGTTAGAGCCCATAAACCCAAAAATATTTAGTATTTGAACTTTACAGAAGAAGTTTGCCAAGCCCTGTAGCAGCAGCATCGAAAGGAGTCAATTAAGGAAGGCCCGGTGCCAGCATTAATGCCTTCCGTCTCTGTACCACATGGAGACGGAGCAGTTGACATAATAAGAATGATGAGAGTAAGTTGTCATTTTAGAACTGATAAAATTATTATGAACCTGTCACTTCCAACTAGGTTTGGACAAGGTGAAACAGCCAGACCCCCCATAAAATAAGGGCTTTGTTACCAAAGTAAAATTTTTAGTCAACTTCTCTAACTAGGTGATACATTTTATACTTCTAGCATTTCATCCTTTAATTTTATTTCCTTCATAAATGAACACAAGATAACCAACCTTAAAAACCAATGAGTGTCCAAGTGCAATTTTAAATTTATTACCTCAGAATACCTAGAGATTTTCAACCTTGTTTTGCTTATTACACTTTCATTTTTCAATGATTTTAAAAATAAAATCTTTGAAAAACTGCAACACCTCTGCTATACAGCATGTGATACAGTCAACACTGATTTGCTGGCTGGCAGTAGGCAGAGCCCACCAGGTGACAGCTGGAAACATCTGCTGTTGTATGCAAGTCCAAGTTCAGTTTAGAAAGACAGCTTAGGGGTACGACTGAATAATACAGATTACAGGACAGCCTACTGTCCGCTAGAAATCATGCTTCAATAAGTAAATACAGATTCCCTGTCCCTGGGATATTATCAGGCCAGCAAAACTATCTGTGTAGCTCTACATTTGTGTATGTGTAGACCTACTTCTCAATCTATGCTATTTACTTGAAATTACCCATATATTGTCATGAAGTAAATTATAAGTTAAAAAATACTAGTCCACACAAATATAAACATAACTTTCATAGTTCATCCTTTTGAATAGTTGTTTCAAAATGCACAACTCAACTTAAAGGAACTCAAACTGACAAATTATTGGTCTGATGAACTATATTCTCAAAAACATACTTCTACTGATCTAAACAACTGATCCTGATTTTTTATATTATTGGTTCTTTATTATGGAAGATTAGTGTGTGTCCTCTGGTTTATTTCTCCTCTATGGATAAACCCACACCTACCATGTTAACAAGAAATGCAATTCTTATATGCAAGTAATAAGCAAAGCAAAATTAACTTTTTTCCCTTACCAGTTGCCTCAATTTCTAGTTTATATAACATTTCAGAAATTATTGTGCTCAATGCTTTTACATTTATTTCTTACATAGTTTTAGCTTATTTATTCCTCTTGTTCTGTCTTAGCCAGGCACTTACCTATTCTTTTATCCTTTTTATTCATAACAAGTTGATGTAGACGTTCCTTTAGTTTATTATATTCACGCTCTTTTCTCTTCATATCATGATTATATTGAGTAGCTCGACTTGCAATAATATTCTGTAATTTTTGTACCTGAAAAATAATTTCTATCAAATGTGTCCCTTTAGGATTGATAAACCCAATTAAAATTCACAAATTCAAAACAGAAAAAAGGTCCTAGCATTTACTTCACCATTAAATAGTTTTAAAAATAATCTAGGATTATTCTTGCTTCTCCATAACCACTGGAAATCACTCTGGCCAGTGTGGTTCATCAGTTGAGTGTCTATCTATGAGCCAGGAGGTCACAGTTCGATTCCCAGTCAGGGCACATGCCCGGGTTGCAGGCTTGATCTCTAGTGTGGGGCATGCAGGAGGAAGCCAATCAATGATTGTCTCTTATCACTGATGTTTCTATTTCTCTCTCCAGCTCCCTTTCTCTTTGAAATAAAATATATATGTATATTTTAAAATAAAATATTGTTTAAATGAATCTCATCAAACTTTTCTTTTTTATTCTGAAATTTCCATTGTTGCTAACTTTCTAAATTATCTTCTACACCAATGATTTTCAACCTTTTTCATCTCATGGCACGCATCAACTAATTACTAAAGTTCTGTAGCACACCAAAATACATTTTCTGCTGATCTAACAAAAAAAATGAGTGTAATTTTGATTCATTCACATTGGGTAGCTACTACTGTGTTGCACTTTTTTTATTTGACAATCTAAGGGAAAAGAGGTCAGTGCCCCAAAGTAGTCAGGTATTGCATGTTTTAAAAATCCCTGTGGTACACCAGTTGGAAATTGCTGTTCTATACTTTTCACCCTGCGTATATGACTCTTGATCACTTAGAAGCCAGAACCTCATTTATGGAAGTGTTACAGTGATTAAAGCTTCATCTGAAACAAGCAAAATTCACCTGATCATTTGTAATGACTTCCTTATATGAATGACTTGAACATTTTATTCCTTATCGACCTGTGACAAGGCAAATTAGCCATGGTTCAGTTCATGGCAGCAGATAAACAGGTTAATTTTTCTCTGACCATAAACAGTTCTCAAATTAGAGTAAGTACAAACAGCAGAATCTGATTCAAACATTTACTAAGTATCTATTAAATGCCGGACACTAGTGGTAAATGTTCATTTCTTCTATGGCTTCTTAGGCAGCCCTTAATGGAAAGTAAGTTCTATTCTATATAGATATTCTTTTTCCCTTTTCTTTTTTTAATCTCACCCGAGTATATTTTTTCTATTGACTTCCAGAGAGTGGAAAGGAGAGAGAAGGGAGAGAGAAGGAAGGGGTGATGGAGGAGGTGAGAGAGAAACACTGATGTGAGAGAGACACACTGATTGGTTCCTACAAGGGCTAGGGAACCAATCTGTACCCGAGGTACTTGTCCTTGAACAGGAATTGAACCTGAGACCCTTCAGTCCTTGGGCTGACATTCTAACCACTAGCAAAATTGACCAGGACTACATAGACATTCCTTTTTCTTATATATAAATATGTTTTTATTGATCTTTTAGAGAGAGAGAGAGAAAGGCAGAGGACTAGAGATAGAAACATTAATGAGAGAGAAACATCGATCAGCTGCACACACACACCTCGCCCCCCAGGGAATGGAGCCCGTAACCCAGGCATGTGCTCTGACTAGGAATTGAACCCAGTGACCTCTTGGTTCCTGGGTCAATGCTCAACCACTGAGCTGCACCAGCCAGGCTACCCAGACATCCTTTATACCCGCTATAAGATGATCATGCTTAACTTAATCCTTACTGAAGGCGAACTATTTTCAAATCACTTATATGTAATCAACAGATTAAGTCAAAATTTTCTGAGAACTCAAGGAAATACATAAGCAACCTTATGGTTAAGATACTTCATTAAGCACTTACTAAATGTACTATTAAATAATCAAATATGGTAAAATAATTGTCTAAATCACTGCAAGGTCCTTAAATAAATACGCTCCCCTAATTGCCCTTAATTATAGTTAAAACAATATATACAACACTGAAATTATATTAAGTATTCTGCTTTTAGTTATCACATGGTCAAGGATCAAACTGCACAGCAAATAAAAACAATGGTTTCTTCTTACATAAAATTTAAAAATAATTTCAAATGCATTTACTCTAAAGATCCAAATACTAAGTAATCACTAAAATAGAAATGAGATTAGAATTATAACACCTTTAGCACCATAAACTAGATTTTTAAATGTGAATTGTGTTTTTAAGCAATAACTTGTGTTCAGTTAATCAATTAATTGCTCGACTGAATGAACAATGTCAATATTTAAGAGAATGCAAGAGGTAGCAGGCTTGATATTAGTACAGGTGTGGCAGACAACAAACATCTGTATTTGTGGGCCACAGAAGAAGTGATGGTGCCTGTGCACCCAGGGTGGGTGGTAGAGGACATTGGTTGCCACGAGCTACGACTAACAAGCGTAATCCAAATGGATCCACTTGGCAGGGGGGACTGTAGAGAGGGTTCCTGACTACAGTTAAATATGATCCAATTCTGTACATAGAGGTCCACCCTATAGCTTGACAAAGGATAAATAAATTGTCCTCGCTTGTTTTAAAGTGAAGTGGCTCTAATGTTCACCTTAAATTATATTTAAAAAATCCCTTAAACTTTATAATTGACAACTTACCTCATCTTTCTCATTTTTCAGTAACTGGTGCAAATTCCTGTTCTTGCATTGTAACTGTCTGTCTCTTTCCTGAAGCCCAATCATTTCTCTCCTGGAGGTTTCCAGTTGTTCCTACAACATTCATGTGCAATTTTTATTACAATTAACATAGCTTCAGAACAAGTGAATCCTTAAAAGATTAGTAAAAACAAGCTATACATACTAGTGTTTGTTCACTACAATTGAAGTTTAGAGGTACACAAAATGTTTTTAAAGCACTTATAAAACTTGACACTATAAGTCCTACAATTTATTTAAATTTAAGTATCAAATTTTATCTAATTTATGTAGCAAAATTTTATGTCTATTCAAAAGAGCTTCAAAATGGATCCCTTAAAATAGTGTTTCCCAAAGTGTGGTACGCGTACCCCCAGGGGTACGGGAAGTTTGGTGGGGGTATGCGTTGCAACCAGAGTTTGGTGGGGATATGCACTGCACCGTGCTTAGCTGGGCCTAATTCTACGTTCTCATGAGTACGAGGGGTACTCAGCGTTACGAAAATTATAGAAGGGGTACACATATGTCAAAAGTTTGGGAAACACTGCCTTACTCTAATAGTGAGCATTTTATTCCACTGAATATTTTTTAAATTATCTTTTAACACTTTTTAACCCTTCTATAGCACACTCTGAGAAAGAGCCAAAAATGCTTCAAAGCTAAGTATGAGGAAGCCTGGTGAGCAAGCAGAATGGAACAATTCAGGTCAGAGAGGGTGGGACCACCACATGCAACCACTTCTCCCTTGCAGGCAGTAAACTGAAGATTTCCCCAGAGAGAAATGGCAGCCATCCTAGAATCAGTATGAACAAGATATCCGTTTTCAATTCATTCTGCACATTTTTATAGAAACTGCGTCAAGTTATGCATGAAGCCACTAAAGCATTTATCAAAATTCTCTTTATCTTTATAAAATACCAGAGCCACTCAAGTTATGTCATAATTGACAAAAATAATGACTTTCAAACAATGGATCTCAAGAAGATTCAGAGATGTAGGACTATTAAACTTGGATAATTCTAAGGTTGTCAAAAATATCGGCATGGCTAACTTTACAGCCTGTGGGCCAGTTGATATGTCCCATATGTCAAATGACAGATTCCCTTGGTCACTATCAACACCCTATATAATCTCATCGTCATCCCTGTAAATCTTACACTGCCTTCCTGCATTTCTTGTGAATCATACCACCGTCCTTGGCAAATTCAAGTCAGAGACCTGAATGGTATCTTATATTCATGACTTATTTCCCAAATTCAACTTTTCATGAAATTCTACCCATTCTACCTCCTAAGTTGTCTTCCTATCTCACTCTTACTATCTCCATTGGCACTACCTTGTTCAAATCCAGAAATCTCTATGGTCAGGGACTGCTAAGCATGCTACAGTGTCCTTTCTACCAGACTTCCTCACCACTTCCATTCCAAACAGAAGTCCCTCCACAATAATTTCTCCATCTACTGCTAGGTTGATATTTACACGATATATTCCCTGTTTATAATCCTCTGGGATTCTGCACAATGCCTTTCACATCATATGAGGCCTAGACCCCAGCCTCACTGCTCACCACTCTTTCTCTTACGTCATATACTTCAGCCCTTGCAGAGCTATATGCCTCCCTGAAAGTAATATGTGCTCCAATGCCTCCATGCTTTTATAGAGATTATATGCTATGCCTAAAATGTCTTTTCCAAACACTAGCAAATTTCTATGCATTCTTCAAATCTCAGGTATAGTGCTGTTACCACTAAGAATAATCAGTAAAGCAAATAACTGTGGTTCATATATCTCCTTCCCCTGGACTACAATTTCCTTGCAAACAGGGCTGGGTTCACTCGTCTTTGAGACCCAATGCCTAATACATACTCGATAAATTTTGCTCAACAAATTATTATTTTTTAAAATATATTTTATTGATTTTTTACAGAGAGGAAGGGAGAAGGATAGAGAGCTAGAAATACCAATGAGAGAGAGACATCGATCAGCTGCCTCCTGCACACCCCCTACTGGGGATGTGCCCACAACCAATGTTCATGCCCTTGACCGGAATCAAACCTGGGACTTTTCAGTCCACAGACTGACGCTCTATCCACTGAGCCAAACTGGTTTCGGCTTTGCTCAACAAATTAAATGAATTATATGCTAGATCTAGAAACTCTTCAAAGGTAGATCAGCAACTCTTTCCACTGAACACACATTTCTTTTTCTTTTTAAAAAAATATATTTTATTGATTTTGTACAGAGAGGAAGGGAGAGAGATAGAGAGTTAGAAAACATCGATGAGAGAGAGTCATCAATCAGCTGCCTCTTGCACACTCCCTTCTGGGAATATGCCCGCAACCAAGGTACATGCCCTTGACCGGAATCGAACCCGGAACCTTTCAGGCCCCAAGCCGATGCTCTATCCATTGAGCCAAACCGGTTTCGGCTTTGCTCAACAAATTAAACGAATCATATGCTAGATCTAGAAACTCTTCAAAGATAGATCAGCAACTCTTCCCACTGAACACACATTTCTGTCCACAGCTGACCCAAAATACCTGATTTTGATCCAGGTCAAATTCTAAATTAGAAGGTATCCTGTAAAATATTCCATGCTCTGGGTAGTCCTAATATATTATTACTTCTTAGAGAAAAGGCGTAATAGATCCAAATTACCAATATCATGCAATCATTCAACAGCTACTTATAAGACACTTGGCCAACAGTGCTCAGATATAAAAGTTTTAAATCTTAATCTAGGGTTTAAAACTCTGACTCAGTCTAATTCATTATACCTTCTATAGGTATCTCTGATTAAGATTAAAGTAGAATCACAACTTGCAGGCTTTTAATATGCCTGGAGGGTACCATCTGTGCCCTCCAAACCTGCCCTCCCCCTTCAGTTCCCCAATCTGCCAAGATACACAGTTGGATAATCTCTATCCCTAAGGCATATAGGATATACGAAAATCTAAAAATATTAAAGAGGGAACATACTGTTATTACTGCACATGAGCTAGAAGACAACATAAACTAGCCTTAGGCACTGATGGGCTTCTAGGGGCAGATGTTGCTGAGGAGCTAAGATGCTTCTCTAAATCAATTACCAAACGAGCCTAGTGTTCACATTAGGCCACTCCAGGCCTCTTCAGTATTGTGCAATACCTACTAAAGGATTTTCAAATATTAGAGATTCTGTTACTCTCCAACTGAGCTTGGAGATTCAAGATATTGAGGTGTTTCTTTTAAACAGTAGAAGCCTGTGCATGAAATTCATGCATGGGTCAGGAGCGGGGGGTGTCCCTCAACCCAGGCTGCACCCTCTCTAATCTAGGACCGAACAAAAGATGTCTGACTGCCGTTTAGGCCTGATTCCTTGGGCCTAAACTGGCAGTCGGACATCCCTCTCACAATCCAGGACTCCTGGCTCTCAACTGCTTGCCTGCCTGCCTGCCTGATTGCCCCTAACCACTCCCCTGCCAGCCTAATCAATGCCTAACTGCTCCCCTGCTGGCTCGATTGCCCCTAACTGCCATCCCCTGCTGGCCCAGTCACCCCTAAATGCCCTCCCCTGCTGGCCATCTTGTGGCAGCCATCTTGTGTCCACATGGGGGTGGCCATCTTTGACCACATAGGGGCAGACATCTTGTGTGTTAGAGTGATGGTCAATTTGTATATTACTCTTTATTATATAGGGTAATTTTATTGATTTCAGAGAGGAAGGGAAAAGGAGAGATGATAACATCAATGATGAGAGAGAATCACTGATTGGCTGCCTCTTGCCCCACACTGGGAATTGAGCCTGCAACCTTGGCATGTGTCCTGAATGGGGACTGAACTGTGATCTCTTGGTTCATAAATCGACACTCAACCACTGAGCCATGCTTGGCTGGGTATGGGTTTTAAAAAATTGTTATCTGTTCTTGAGGGAGTAGAGGAAGAAAAATAGAGAGGCATGGACCAATAGGAGATAAACTAACGAGAAGCTGATCTTCTGGGAATATGCAGATTCAAAACTTTTACACACACACACACACACACACACACACACACACACAAATAAGGAAACCCAAAATAGTAGCATCTTTAGAAAATATTTTTGCCATGGATCGATTCTATTACATCCTTCATAATATAAGTTCCCACTATACTGTGATTTTGAACTCCTTCTTCCTCTCCTTCTCAAATAAATGAATAATAAAGAATCCTATATAATAAAGAGGTAATATGCAAATTGACCCTCATGCCCTCACAGATGGCAGGGGAGGTAGTGAGGGACAACCAAACAAATGAACAGCAGACTTTGTGGGGAGACCAGGCCAGCAGGGGGGGGCAATTAGGAGTGATGAAGATGGCAGGGGGGCAGTATGGGGTGACCAGGCCAGTGGGGAGAGGGGGGCAGTTAGCAGTGACCAGACTGGCAGGGAGGGGGCAGTTGGAGGCGACCTGGCCGGCAGAGGGGGGCAGTTAGGGGTTATCAGGCCAGCACACAGAGGCAGTAAGAGTGAACAGGTTGGCAGGGGGGTAAGTTAGGGGTGACAAAGCAGGAAGGCAGGTGAGCGAGTAGAAGCCAGGGGTCCAGGATTGTGAGAGGGCAGTCAGACACACCCCATGGGTCCCAGATTAGAGAGGGTGCAGGCTGGGCTGAGGGGGAGCCTCCGCCCCCCCCCCCCCCGGGATGCCCCGCCCCCCCTTGTGCTCCAATTTTGTGCACTGGGCCTCTACAGATTTTTATAAAATAAAAGAATGAAAGCAAGACTAAATGGGGTGAGGGAATCTTTATTTATTTTTCTCAGACATAATATTTCCTACAGACTCAGCAAGTCACTAAACAGTTCATGGAATCACTGTTGTCAATATGGATATTAGGAAGCAGTATGGTGGATTTGCAGAAATCACTTTACATCCACTTTTATTACTTGTTTCAAAAAACCAAAACAAAAAAATTTTAATTCTAAAATGTGATAAAGCCTAAGAAAATGTATAGTATCAAATTACATAATAATGGCATTTAAATTCAGATTGGTGTAATTTCTACCTTGAGTTTTGCATAGCAGCTTTGCAGATGGTCCATATCACTTCCCAGTTTCAGATTTTGTGTTTCCACATTTTCCTGAGCTAGAAGGTTCTTCCGCTGACGAATAAGTAGCTCATTCATACAGTTTAAAACAGCAACTATATTTAATTCTCTCTTTGTCTCTTTACCTTTGGATTCTTCATATAATGAAGGAAAACCGAAAGTAGTCAATTCCTGGTAGGAGAAAACGTTTTTTCTAAAAGTTGGTTACCAGACAACTTAGTATAGAAAACAAAAGGTAGACATATTTTCTGAGAAAACTATTCTGTGACAATTAAAAAAAACAGTAAATACCCCAAAGAAAAAGAATTGAGAGGACGGGGCTCTTTTTGTCTCTGCCCTGCAGTCACTTAGAGTGAGGCATGCAGGTCTCTTCACCAGTAAAATAAGGGTGAGACTCCCAGTGGAGGAGCCCCCGGGGATATGGGAGGCCAATCTGCTCCAGATAAAAATGCTTACCTTGTATCTAGTTAGGTGATCACCAAGGTCTCCACAAACCTAATACAAGTCCTGGACCAATGCACAACAATATACTTGTAATGATAAGTGTTCTCATAACTTCAATATTATAGAACATGATTATACCAATGCTTCTTATAAAAAAAAAACAACAACACAAAAACACACCATTACCTGATCAAGATATGAAATACTTTGTTCAATATTCTCTTCTGTGCAGAAGGCACTAAAAAAACTGTGCACATTTTTTGATAAAGGTATTGAAGAACAGAGCACTTTTTGTAAGTATAGACTTGATGGAGACATCTTTGTTTCTGAGGTATATTGAGAGATATTTTTGCTTTCTGAAAGAATAAAAGGCACTTATGTAAGTAATATATTAAAATGTATGCAAAGTTAATATAATCTCATTACCAAAGATTTTTTAATTACATAAATATTTTAAGGATTTTCAAATTAAGACAAAGTTGGTTTTATATGAAAACTATGTACTATGTACTTTTTCTCAAAAGACACAACTAGAAAGTGATCTTACAAAGCATGTTAAGCTACAATATGCTACCTTAATTTGCAGTGTTTTAGATTTCTAAAAATAACAGACAAAAATCACTTGTCTACGCACTCAAAGTTTATGCAATTAAAGAAATATATCAGAGAAATGTACTGAAGCAGCCAATGAATTTATTTCAAATGCATAAAAATTTCCTCAAAAATAGTAACAATCAAGTGATCAATCATCCACACAAAGCAGTTAACCCCACAAATTATGGCACAATTCTTAGCTCTCCCTAATAATTTCATTGAAGATGGAAATGAGACATTTTGCAATTATTTATGTCTCTCATCAGTCACATCTTTAATATTTGTGATAATTATTTTATAGTGTCATTGAACATTATCACTTTTACCAATGCTTTGGCTTACAGTATTTTAAACTCAATCACCTGAAGACAGACCTGGATCTGTAACCGTCATCCAATCTCCCATAGCAGTTGCCAGAGCCAGGATACCTGAGGAACCAGTTCAGCAGTGAAACATTTAGTCCAGCTGCTGTCACTCTTCTATGTAGGCATCTCCTTAAAAAGCAAATCATAGAATGACAACAGCTAATTAAAAATATGAAGGCAAATATAAAACCAATGTGTAAGAATTACTTCGTGTTTCAAAAAAGAAAGGTTTTGTGTTATTTATTCTCATGTACACTCATATAGAACATAGTAGAACTCAGTAATAATTACTGTGTGTTTGTGGATACGTGTGTAAAGATAAGGCTATAGGCTTCTCTAGTTATACTGAGGTATTCTCATGACATCATATAGAAAGTACACAGTACGTGATTTCACTCACAACATAAATCCAAGGTATAGCACTGTAGTAAGTAATAAATAGTTCTAAAGTTGCCGAAACCGGTTTGGCTCAGTGGATAGAGCGTCGGATTGGGACTGAAAGGTCCCAGGTTCAATTCCGGTCAAGGGCATGTACCTTGGTTGTGGCCACATCCCCAGTAGGGGGTGTGCAAGAGGCAGCTGATCGATGATTCTCTCTCATCGATGTTTCTAGCTTTCTGTCCCTCTCTCTTTCTCTCTGTGAAAAATCAATAAAATATATTTAAAAAATAAAATAATTCTAAAGTATATCCTTTATAATAAAATATAGTTCTTATATACGTAGACTAGGCCTGTTGCACGATATTCGTGCAATAGGCCCCTGGCTTCACTACCAGCCACCAGGGAGCCAGCAAGTCCCTTCTCCCCGGCCGCCCGAAAGCAGGTATGTCCCTGCTCCCGGGGCCTCCTGGAGCCAGCAAGTCCTGGCTTCTGTCTGGGGCTCCACTCCAGTAGCTCCCCCCACCACCCTCCTTCCCCTCATAGCAGGCTTCATAATGCTCTGCGTGTGCATATGCAAATCAACCTCCATCTTTATTGGGTTAATTTGCATACTCACTCTGATTGGCTGTGGGCATAGAGGAGTGATGGTTAATTTGCATGTTTCTCTTTTATTAGGTAAGAGGAAAAAATTCTTGACCAGCATTCCTATTTTTTGTTTTTACAAACTATATTGGCAAAACTTTTATTTTTCACTACAATTCCCAATGTTGACATAGACCCAGAGAAATGAATACTCTCATACATTGTTCTCCAGAAAAATTATATAAACTTATATTATTAGTAAGCAATATGCATCAAAATTCTTAAAAATGAAAATATATTTTAATCAGAAATTCCATTTCTAAAATTTTATTCTAATAAAATCATTTGTACAAAATATTCATCTATTATTCTTTTACAACATCAAAAAACAGAAATAACTTATACGTTCCACAGAAGGCTGTTTATAAACATAATACATTTATGCAATTGGACAGTGTGCAAACATTAAACATAGCCAAGGGGAATTAGGATGCCTAACAAGTACATAAAACTCAAGAAATGCGCATGCATGAAGTAGACTAAGAAACAAATAACCTTTTTCAGTCTATCATTCATGTTTGCATTTTTAACATAAGTAACTGAATAAACAAATATTTCTCCATCATAAAAATGCAATGAAACAATAAATGGCAACTAGAAATTGAATTCAAGGTCAGGATAGCAGGAGGAGAGGTAAGGAGGCACATTGGAGCACAAGCCAACACCGGACAGCTGTGTCTCAGCTACAACAAACTGTGGCCAAAGAGGAAGTAGGTCCTTTGCTGTTACATCTTTCCATTTTTTTAAGAGATGTTGGAATTCTGGATTTTTTTGTAAAATCTCCCAATTTTTAAAGATAGAAATCAATTAAAAAGATGAACTATGGAAAACAACAACTAAAAGACAGAACAGACATCATTCAAAACCACAGGAAAGCTGGCTGAGTGGAAAATCTACAACTAGAAAGGAGAGAAGTTCACAGATCAGGAGAGCCTCAAAGCGCTGAGGTAGGGAGATGCACAAGCAGAGAGGAAGGGTGGCAGAGTGCCTGGCTGGCGGGAGGGGAAAGGAAACCCCAGACTGCACTGAACCTCAACCCCGGCCAAAACCCCACGGACCCAGGCTCATATGGGTGGAGTCTGGACTGTAGAGAAAGGCACCCGGAGACTCAGAGACTGGGAGACTTGGGGGAGCTGAGAGTTGCAGCAGGCAGGGTCTAGAGGCGCTCATGCATGAGTGAGTGCGCGCAAAGAGGTTTGACTGGGGAGGTTGCTGCAGCTTTTCCATAGAGAAAGGATTCGGAAGCTCCTAACTGCACTGGGATTAAAAATATTATACAGAGACCCAACCCAGTTCCAGGAGAGCCCCTGGGGTACCCACACTCTTGTAGGAGGAATCTAGACTGTCAGGCGGAAACTCAGGGGCTGAGTTTCAATGGAAGGCAGAGGTCTGAGGTGCGTGCACAAGGGTAGGGCTGATGGGAAGCCAAGAATATCAGCTCAGCCCTGTGACTCCGCCCCATCCAAGTTGAGCAAAGAGGCTTTTGCAATTTTGCAAGTCTGATCCTACAAGACTGTCTCCAATATAGACACAGCTGATACATCCAATTGGCCTGGAGATCAATTCCTCCCAGTGATACCAACAACAATCAAGACTTAACTACAACAAGGCTATACACACAGTCCACAAAGGGGAGCGCCAAGAGTGTCTAGCTTCTAACAATGGGTGTAGTGACTAGCTTCTAACAGTGGATGGAGGACCTAGAGAATGGAGTTTCCTTGGCTGCATGGAGGAGATGATGGTGGGTGAGCTAGGCTTTGAGGAAGCATTGTTTTAGAAGAGGAGCATACAGGCCGGAGTGAGTGTGCCATACATTTACCAGCTCATTCCAGCCCTACCATGTAGTCTTTAAGAACCACACATTTCACATTTCTGCATTCTCCCTACTCATCTTAATAAATGGAATGATCAATGAATACTCAAGTAAGTAACTGATGATAAATTAACATGTTCATCCCAGCAAGCAAAAGCAGATAAAGAAAAATACCAATGGAAAGGATGCAAAAGATGTGAATCTTTTATAAAATGTACTAGAGGCCCATGGCATGAAATTCATGCATGGGTGCGGTCCCTAGTCCTAGTCGGCAATCAGGGCTAATTGGGGCCTTCCGGCTGCTGGCTGGGGCCTGCCTTCCTGCCAGCTGCTGGCTGGGGCCTGCCAGATGGGGGGGAGGGAACGTGGGAGGTTGGCCAGCTGAAGGGAGGGACCAGGGGAGGTTGGCTGGCCATGGGAGGTTGACTATAGGAGTGCTCTGACCACCAGGGGGCAGCTCCTGCATTGAGCATTTGCCCCTGGTGATTAGTGCGTGTCATAGCAATTGGTCGTTCCAGTTGTTCTGGCATTCGGCTCACTTAGGCTTTTATAAATATATATATAGACTAGAGGCCCAGTGCATGAAATTCTTGCAGGGGGGGGGTGTGGAAGGGTGTGTCCCTCAGCCCAGCTGGTACCGTCTCCAATCTGGGATCCTACTCACAACCCAGGACTGTTGGCTCCCAACCGCTTGCCTGCCTGATTGCCCCTAACTGCTTCTTTCTGCCAGCCTGACCACCACCTAACCACTCCCATGCCAGCCTGATTGACGCCTAAGTGCTCCCCTGCCAGCCTATTTGCCCCTCACTGCCCTCCCCTGAAAGCCTGGTCACTGCTAACTGCCTTCCCCTGGAGGCCTGGTTATTCCCAACTGCCCTTCCCTGATGGCCTGATCGCCCACAACGCCCTCCCCTGATGGCCATCTTCTGACGGTCATCTTGTGTCCACATGGGGGTGGCCATCTTGGCCACATGGGGGTGGCCAGCTTGTGTATTAGAGTGATAGTCAATTTGCATATTACCTCTTTATTATATAGAATTATATAGGATTACTCTTTATCCCCCAAATCTCTCCTAACACATCAACACACTGAAAGAGAGCTCAGAAGAAACTTAATATCATGATTACAAGATTTCCTTAACATTATACACTACTTTAAGTTCTTTTTAAGTTCACTTGGAATTGAAACTTGAGAAGGTGCATTTGCTACCTAATCAGAATTCTAAAGCAAACTTCAAGTGTCAGAAAATAAGTTTTTCATTATACAGGAATGTGGTAACATTATACCATCTGGATTTCTAAGTACTAGACAGAATTTTACACAAATAGCTAAAATTTGCTAAAATCTCACAAAGATAGAACTACCAAATTGTTGGATTAAAAAAATAAAACTATTAAAACTAAGTCTTTAAGCATTAGTCCTATCTTAGAAATCCTCCTTTATAATAAAAGCCTATATAATATGAAAATTGTCCCCTCAACCAGGAGTTCGACTGCTTGCTATGATGTGCGCTGACCACCGGGGGGGGGGGGGGGGGGTGGTGGTTCTGTGACGTGGCACTGGCAGTGGGGAGCAGTGGAGGTGCTGCCGGCCCTGATGGGCCCTTGATGGGCCCCAACAAGAATGGGACCACGGTGGGACGGTGCAGCAGGCGGCGCCAGACCAACGCAGGTGTGAGCAGCTGATCATCCTGCCAATTGCCCTGCAGAGAGTGACCGGTGGCAGGGGGTGAGACGGCCGCCTGGCTCCCAGGTGCTGAGAGAGCCGGGCAGGGGGGGGCCCAGCCCCAACTGATCACCCTATAGGCAGGATGGTGGAGCAGGTGAGGGGATGGCTCCAGCCAAGGTGTGGTGCCTGGGGGCTGCAAGGCTGGGGGCACAAACTGGGGCTCGATCCCCCCCAGGCCATATCAAGGGACCCCACCCATGCACAAATTTATGCACCGGGCCTCTAGTTTAGTTATAAAACTTGATATGGTAGTTATCAGCATACTTTAATAGGTGTTTCATTTTTAAGAATCAAATTATGATCATTTTAAAAATTAATATCACCTTCTACTATAATTTTATTCCAAATTATATATAGTTTTTAATTCCATTACAAATGCCTTTGCTACCTTAAATAAAATCCCAATTCAGATACGCATATCAGAATAGAAACACAATAAAAATTCAACCTCTAGAAAAATCTACTTTCTACAAATTTAAAATCTAAATGATTTCACCTGAATGGCATAATTTAATAGTATAGATATTGTTTCTAAACTGGTTTGGCTCAGTGGATAGAACATCG